CCTCGGACGTCGGAGCTACTACCCCTACAGCCCCAGCATAGATCCGAGCATATATGGAGGGGACCGTTGCTTACGCAGACTTTTCGGGGCAGGAGAGTGGATTTATTGTGGGAGTTTTTGAATCCTCCCCGCGTTCTACATCCCCGTGTGGTCCATCACCTGGAGGAGATGGGATTATATAGGATCATTAGCATTGGCGGGATACAGCTCGACTATACTTTGATCACGGCGTTGATTGAGCGGTGGCGACCTGAGACGCACACTTTCCATCTGCCCATCGGCGAAGCCACCATCACACTCCAGGATGTCGAGATTTTATATGGCCTGTCCACCGATGGCTTGCCAGGTTTACTGCCTGGGAACATGAGATATTTTAACCGGGCTGCATATATGGATATGCTGCACAGGCTCACGGGCTTCAGGTCCGAGGACCCAGATGTAGCAATTGGGAGTAGTCGTATGCAATTGGTCTCCATTAGAGACCACTTGGTGCAAATCCACGATACTATCACCGACGACTCAGCGGAGGTGGATGTGGAGCAATATACGAGGCTGTTGTTGCTCCTTCTATTTGGGGGGGTCTTGTTCCCGAACACTTCGGGGAACCTAGTGAGCCTTCGTTTTCTGCATCATATTGCGGACTTTGATGATACAGTCAGCTACAGCTGGGGTGGTGCTGTCCTATCTTTTTTGTACAGGCAGATGTGTCGGGCATCCATGGGCACACAGAGAGACGTTTCTGGCTTTCTGCCACTTCTACAGGTGACAACTTATTCAAATAATTTGTCNATTGGTCTCCATTAGAGACCACTTGGTGCAAATCCACGATACTATCACCGACGACTCAGCGGAGGTGGATGTGGAGCAATATACGAGGCTGTTGTTGCTCCTTCTATTTGGGGGGGTCTTGTTCCCGAACACTTCGGGGAACCTAGCGAGCCTTCGTTTTCTGCATCATATTGCGGACTTTGATGATACAGTCAGCTACAGCTTGGGTGGTGCTGTCCTATCTTTTTTGTACAGGCAGATGTGCCGGGCATCCATGGGCACACAGAG